TAGCTGCACATCCTTCTAGTTGCTGTATGTGGGACGCGGCCTCAGCATGGCCGGAGAAGCGGTGCGTCGGTGCGCACCTGGGATCCAAACCCGGGTCGCCAGCAGTGGAGCGCGCTCACTTAACCACCAAGCCACGGGGCCGGCCCCAACGTCACTTTTTTTTAAGTGGGCAAAAACAAAATAAAAATGGGCAAAAGATTTGAACATTTGCTTCACAAAAAAGACTACCCAGGTGTCCGGCAGACATATGAAAATGGGCACAACCTCATTAACAATCAAGGAAATGCAAATCACAGCCACAATGAAATTCCACCAGGCACCCCCGGGACGGCTAAAACCAAGGGACAGACAGCGCCAAGTGTGGGGCCAGGACCTGGAGCACCAGAACTCCTCATGTGCTGCTGGTGGGAGGGCGATTTGGTGCAACTGCAGGCATACCTCATTTCATTATATTTTGCTTTATTGCATTTTGCAGATATTGTGGTTTTTACCAGACCCTCCACCAGCAAAAAGCTTACGGCTCGCTGAAGGCTCAGATGACGGTCTGCATTTTTTCGCCATAAAGTATTTTTTTTTTTTAATTTTTTTTATTTATTTTTCCCCCAAAGCCCCAGTAGATAGTTGTATGTCATAGTTGCACATCCTTCTAGTTGCTGTATGTGGGACGTGGCCTCAGCATGGCCGGAGAAGCGGTGCGTCAGTGCGCACCCGGGATCCGAACCCGGGCCGCCAGCAGCGGAGCGTGCACTTAACTGCTAAGCCACGGGGCCGGCCCAAAGTATTTTTTTAATTAAGGTACATACATTGTTTTTTAGACAAAATGCTATTGCAGACTTATGAGAATACACTGTAGTGTCAACATCACTTTTGTACGTGCGGGGAAACCACGAAATTCGTGTGACGCGCTTTATCGCGTTGGTCTGGAATGGAACCCACTATAATTCCGAGGTCTGCCTGTACTTGGAAAATAGTTTGGTGTCTCCTTCTAAAGTTAAGCATACACGTCCCTCACGCTCCAAATCTATTTCTAGGTAGAAACCCAAGAGAAATGCATATCTTTTCATCATATATCTGCAGGTGAACCCAATGTCCAACATTAGAATGGGTATTTATCCAATAAAGTGCAGCACAGTCTTATGGTGGAAACGAACAGACCACGACTATGCCCCAAAAGATGGATGAATCGCAGACACCGTGGGACACCAGAAGCCAGACAGAAGAGAATATTCTGGATAATTCCACGTATGAGAAGTTCGCAACCTAGCCACCCAATCTGTACCGCTGGGACACAGGACGGCAGTGACCCTGGGGAGGCAGTGATGTGGGGGAAGGACCTAGAACTACCATAGCCTCCAGCAATGCCCCCTCTGAGGGTTTATCCAAAGGAGCTGAAATGGGGTCTCGAAAAGATATGTGCACACTATTCACAATAGCCGAGGTGCGGGGATCAGGTAACGTCCCCCGAGGATGGAGGCATAAGGTGAAGGCAGCGTGTGCACACAGTGGGATAGGATTCAGCTGGGGAAGCAGCAGCCTGGAACCCCCCAGAGGGTGTTCTTAAGGGGACATGGCCTGAACCTGGGGGTCTTATGGGACAGCTCCCCCCCCAAGTCCCAAGGGAGGTGACACCGCCTGGGAGGCCCCAGCATGCTCACCTTGCTCTCGGGCCTGCTGAAGGGGATCTGCAGCCGGTCCATGGCCTCGAGCATGGCGCGCATGGACACGAAGATGTTCTGGTAGACCAGGGGCCGGAAGCCCTTGCGGTCCTCCTCCGAGTAGCCCGCCCCGTGGATGATCCGCATCTGCTTGATGAATGTGCTTTTCCCGCTCTCGCCCGTGCCTGCGGAGACGCCACATCGGCTCAGCCCTCTGGGGGCTCCAAGGCCGGACACCCCCTGACCCTGGGGGTTCACATCCTGGCTCGGCCAGAGCTGTGCTCTGTGACCCTGCGCCAGTGCTAAACCTCTCTGTGCCTCAGTTTCCCCACCTGTAACACGTGGATCACAACAGGCCCTGCCTGCTGATCCATGTGAGGTCTAAATGAGGCCCTTGCCAGGTGCTCCGGGAGGGGTCTGCAAACTCCGGCCCGCGGGCCGAATCCCGCAGGGCACCTGTTTTTGCATGGCCAGTGAGTTTTTACCATTTGTGTGATTTCTACATTTCTAATGCTTTTCATGGTTACGGTTTTTACATTTTTAAATAGTTGAAAGGAATCTAAAGACGACTATTCCGTGACACGTGAAAATTATATGAAATTCGGGTTTCAGTGTTTAGAAATAAAGTTTTATTGGCACACGGCCACACCCATTTATGTGGTTGTTTTCTGGCTACAGCGGCAGAGTTGAGTGGTCAAGTAGAGAGAATCTGGCCCACAAAGCTGAAAATATTTACTATCCGGCACTTTACAGGAAAAGTTTGTGGACCCCAGCTTACAGCCTGCCTAGACATAGGAAGTGCCACAGAAGTCTTCACTATTAGCAGGAGTTGTAGTATTTACTGTAATAATAATTACTATTATTACTTGCTATAATAATTTCAGGTAGAGAGACTTTTCTGAAGGTAATAAAATAGGATAAATAGGGTAAGGAATGATCAGGTGACCACCAGAGCTGAGGGTCAAGGAAGGCCTCTCAGTGGGGGTGGCTTGTGGGGCTGAGATCTGAAAGCTGGGAAGGTAGCTCTCCGGCCAAGATCTGCGGGAAGAGCTTTCCAGGCAGAGGGCACAGCCTGTGCAAAGGCCCTGGGGCAGGACAGGGCTGGCGTGTTGGAGGAACAGTGAGGAGCCCGTGTGGCTGGAGCAGAGGGAGGAGGGCAAGAGAGGGAGGAGGGAGGGCAGGGAGGGGACGGGGCAGGTCATGCAGGCCTGGTGGGCCACAGGGAGGAGGTGGGCTTCTCCCCTGAGGGAGGTGGGAGCCCTGGAGGGCTGTGGGCAGAGGAGGGGGACCTGACTCGGGGGCTCACAGGTGCCTTCTGGTGGGGGCTGCGGGGAGGACAGACTGTGGGGACCTGGGTGGAGGGGACTGAGCTGGTCCAGGTGGGCGACGATGGGGGGTACCAGGTGGCCGCAGTGGAGCTGGAGAGAAGGGGACACATTGGAGAGATATTTGGGAGACAGAATCTCCACGACTTTGTTGACGGACCAAAGTAGGAAGGGGGTCCTTGCAGGGCCATCTAGAGAATTTACGGCTCCACATGCAAGATGAGGCCACAGGGCCCTTCTGAGCGCGGGGCGCTGTGAGACTGCCCAGGTGGCACACCCGTGACCCCGGCCCTGGGTCTGTGATGCTAACACTGGAATCTTCAAGAGCCCGGAAGCTCGAAGGCTGGGCCTCCTGCTGTCTGAGCTCTGAGATCTCCCCCTCTCTGGGCCTCTGTTTTCTCATTCATAAAATGGGCGCAATAGTCAGGTGGGAGGTGTGGGGCCGGGAGGCTCCTCCAACAGCTCCTGGAGACGCGGCCTGGGGTCCTTGCAGGGACGGGAGGGGCTGTGGTGCCGGAGAATCTGGAGCAGCAGCACAAAGGGAAGGGGTGGCCTGGTTGGAGCCCACAAAGAGGAAACAGGATCAGAGGGAGAGGAGCGGGGAGGAGAGGAGGAGCGTGTGGGAAGCGGAGAGAGAAGAGGAGCCAGGATCTCACATCCGTCCCCCACCACCACGCGGCCAGGGGCTCCCTGTCCCCTCCCGGCCCCCGGCCCAGCTGAGGACGGCGGGGGCAGGTCTGGGGTGACACCAGGCGTTCATTAAGCCCACTGGACTCGAGGCCCCAGAAAAAGAGTGGCTTTCTCTTGCCCACAAGGGTGTTAGTTGGGAAACTAACACCCCAAATATCTGGGGGTGTGGGCCAGGCGCGGGAGCCGACAGCAGGGCAGGATGCTCCTCGTCTGCCCCTGGGCCTCGAATCATCCTGGGGGGCTCTGCTTTTCCATGGGGCTCAAACCACTGAAGCATTTAGGGGTAAAAAGATGTCAGGCCTGCAACTTACTTGCCAACAGTTCAGGAAAAAAAATGAATATGCACATATTAAATATATAAATGTACGGTAAATAAACTCTAGACACAATGATGTATTATATAAATTACAAGTCTATGCACATACACGTTTACATAGTGTGCATATGCGTATATATGTCCAGAGAGAGACAGAGAGGAGAGAGACAATAAAAAAAGGTAAAATGTGAACATTTGCAGAATCTGGGTGCAACTTCTCTCTGAGACTGAAAGTCTTTCAAAATAAAAAGTTAAGAAACGGGGAAAAAAAAAAAACCCAGCAATTTGAGATGCTGGACTGGATAGTGAAAGGGAAAAAGGGCCTTGGAGGAAACACCAGTGAAGCCTGGAGTTTGTAGTTTCGTTAATGGTCACGTCACGGGTTCCCAGGTAATGTCTCGGCTGTGACAGACGCCCTGGGTCCTATCAGAGGCGCACGTGAGGGGAAGCGGGTCATGGGGGAAAGGGGACTCTCTGTAGCTTTGTCACTTTTCTGTACATCTAAGGTTATTCCAAAATAAAAAGTTTCCTTAAAACAAAGAAAACCACCCCCGGGTCTGCCATCTGAAGCTCTCCAATGTGAGGCCGTGTGTGTTGCAGATTCTGGAATTTCTCGGATTTTAGGAGAGGACGCGTCAGGTTCACTAAATATTCCTGCAGGGGAACATCTGAAGGTCACAGTCAGCGAGAAGAGCCCACAGCCCCGCTTCCCACCAAGGGACCTGAGGGGCCATCCCGTCTTTGGAGCTCTGGCAACTTGGGGACGACAGAGGTGGCTGTGAGCCCGGGGGCCCTAGACTGAGTGCTCCGAGGTCCTGGGAGCCCCACAGGACCATTTCCCCCAAGACTCACGGCCCCCCTTTCCATATGGGGAAACTGAGTCCCAGATGGGTCCGAGGGGATTGCCTTGGGCCATGGAGCCGGTGGGTGGCAGAGATGGGACTCAACCCCGATCCTGTCTGAGTCCAGAGCCTGTGGGCTTTTTAATTATCACACCGGGAAGTTCCCCATGTGCTGCCTAAACAATAACAACTACATCAGTAATAATAACCATCACCATCGTCATCACGGCGAGCCAAGGTCCTCTGTGCGCTGTTTCCCCATTCACGGGGGGCTCAGAGAGGTGAGGTGACTTTGCCAGGGTCACACAGCTAGTAGAGGAGCAGAGGCGTAAACCTGACGGGTCCTTCACCAACAAGACGGGACACGGCCAGTCGACTGGGCCAGGCGTCACCAAGGCATCAGCTGCCGTGGTGTTTCTATGGGACGCTCGGACGCCGGCCGGCACTGGGCCCCCGCCGGGGACTGTCCCCTCTGAACTCCCTCCTGGTTGCCTTGCAAGTCCGACCCCGGGTCTCCCCAAAAGTGCAGAGAACAGAGGTCTCGGCAAGCGACAGTTCGCTTTGTAGCCATGCACTGATTTTTCTTCTCGTCTCTTCTGTCTCATTAAAGGAAAAAAAAAATCCTGGTCGCCACCCACACTGGAGATTCTGTGACTCACGGACGGGTCAGCACCTGAATTCTGGAAAACTCCACCGAGTGGAACCCCCTGGCTGCAGCCCATGACTATCCTTGAAGCCACTGAGGATTCTGGAGCCTGTCCAGCCGCCTGATCGTGGGCTGCGTGGGGCGGGGGGCTGCGGGGAGAGCGTGTCCACCTGGTGTCGCCGCGCAGCCCAGACAGGAAGTGGCGGCTTCCTCCTGGGGCTGGACGAGGAAGTGGGACCCGGCAGACACAGGAGCAGCCGTGCCAGGCCCCAGGCATCGCGAGACGGCCGGGAGGCCCCTTCCACGGGGGCCGGCAGCCCCGCACCCCCACCCGCCCCGGGAAACAGGGCGACAGGGGCACAGGGAGCCAGGCCCGGGCAGCCACAGGGGCAGGCGGCTCAGCTTCTACGTCCAGCTGGGCCTCAGACCAATCCTGCTGCCTCCCTGGGCCTCAGTTTCCCCATCTGTCATGGGGGTTCTGTGGCTTTTCTCTCCCGAGGCCCATTCACAAGGTGGTCAGATTTTGGAACCGGAATTCTAGGCTCAGATCGGGCTGTGTGACCTTGGGCAAGTCGCTTCACCTCTCTGGACCTCGGTTTCCCCATCTGGGAATGCGAAAAGGACTTGCCTCAAGCGCGGCAGACAGAGCCGGCTCCTTTCTGCCTCCTTCTGACCCTTCCCCTCCCCGACACGGTCCTCAGTCTGTCAGGGACAGACCCCCGGCCCCGTGGCCAACTTCCTCAAAAGGACCAGCCACCTCCAGGAAAAAAATAACTTTTGGATTCAATTCCTGTTTTCAAGAAAGGGAGGGGGGGGCGGAGGTGGCCCACAGGCTGGGATGGGGGTGGCGTGAACCGCAGTCCCCAGGGCTGTCCAGCTGCCACGGTCAGTGCTGGGGACATGGGCAACCCCCCTCCCATCCCTGTCCCCCCACCCGGCACCAGCAGAAGGGGCTGATTTGGGGCGGGCTGTGCCGTGGGCAGAGTGGGGTGGGGCAAGGGACCGTCGGGGCTCCAGGAAGATGTGGCACAGCTCTGGGTGGAATCGCCCCGGAAACAGGGTTCATTCATTCATTCATTCATTCATAAAGCATGCAGTGGGCGTCTACTGTATGTCAAGTTCATTGTACTCCGGGCCTGGATGCTGGGGATACAGGAGTGAATGACAGACACAGTCCCCGCCCCTGTGTTGTCCACTGTATACACGGAGAGACAGACGATAAACAAATAAACAAGCGAACACCCCAGAGTGTTAGCAAGCGAGTACTATGAAGAAAAGTCACAGATGAAGGAGAAGGATGGGGCTGTCTTGGTAGCCGGGGAAACCGGGGAAGACTTCTCTGAGGAGGTGACACTTGAGCTGCGACCTGCCTCGAGTGGGAGCGCCAGCTGCACAAAGGCTTGGGTGATGCTGGGAGCTCTTAGCAGGGAGAACGGCAAGTGCAAAGGCCCCGAGGCACAGACAAGTGAACTCGAGATGTGCAAGGAAAGATCCCTAACGTGGATAAACTCTTGCCTGACGGGTCAGAGAAAGGGAGCTTGAGACACAGAATGAGACAGGGCCCATCACTACAGACCCTACAGACAGAGGAACGTTATAAACAACTCTATGCCCATAGATGCGACAACTTCAAAGAAACAGCCAAATTCTTTGAAAGATGCCAATAGCCAAAGCTCGCTCAAGAAGAAATAGATGGTCTAAATGGCCCTATTTACTAAAAAATAATGAGTATCGTAGGTCACATACATTATTAATATAATAATAGCCACCAGTGAAGGTGCGGTTCCTGGGTCCCTGCTCCCACTCACATGGGGCTGCCCCTCCCACCTCGAGAGGGAAGAGAGAGGGTGACCACGCCGATGACTGGCCTGTGTGCCCAGGGCAGGCAGGTGTGACTTGGGGACACCCAGGCCCTTCCCCAGTCCCCCACCCAGGGCTCAGGGGGTCCCAGGAGACCCTCCAAGGCCGGCGTCCCTGGGTTAGGCCTGCAGGAGTAGACACACGTGGGCGACAAGACTTGAGGCTCCAGAGGTCACCATCTCAGAGCCTCACAATCTGCCCCCCCCAGTCACCCCTACTCTGTCACCGCGTTTGCCGTTCTTCCTGGCTCTCCTCGCTGCCGGAAACGGTATCTGCTTGTTAGTTCACCGGCTTAACGTCTGTCTCCCTCACCGGAAGGTGAGGTCCCCACGAGTTACTGGATGCATCTCCAATGAATGAATGAACCGATCGATCGATCGATCAGAGACGCTTGACAGCGCTCTGTCCCAAGGACCCGGGTTAATCAACTTCCGGAATGAACCCAGGTTGAGCCCCCCCTGGGCTGGCCGGCCGCAGCAGGGAGAGAGAGCCGGGCTCCTCATCACCTCCCCGTGACGCAGCAGCCAGTACGGCACACTGGGCCTGCCAGGCAGCAGCAGGGTCCCTGCCGGGCCACATGGCTGAGCCACCTCTGTTCTTGCAGATGACCTGCAAGGTGGCCACGCCCAGGGGCCGGGCACGGTGCTCACCCCTGTAGACAAGGAACTGGGCCACTCTGGCCCTCGGTCTTCTCATCTGGAAAATGGATTCCCAGGCTCTCCCGGCCCCCAGGGGTTTTGAGGGTCCCCTCCTCGGGCCCTCCTCCTGCTCCTCATCCTTGTCCTCCTCCCGCCCCTGCCCGCTGCCCACCCCAGCCGGGCCCTGGACTCACCCAGCAGCAGTAGCTTCAGCTCCCCCCGGTCCCGCTTCTTTTGTTCCAGGAGGATCTTGTTGATCTCCTGGTCGATCCGGGCGGCCGTCTTCTCGTCCTCGGTCAGGCACCAGGGGCAGCAGCGCCAGGTCAGCGAGCGGGCCATGGTCGGGGCCTCAGAGGGCGCCAGGCGGCATGGCCCCGGCCCCCCTGGGGAGGGCACCCCCCCCCGGCCGGCTCCGGGGAGGCCTCCTAGCAGCCAGGTGCGAAGGGGCCACCCCCTAGAGACCCCCGATCTCCTGGCCTCGGGCACCCGGGTGGCCCAGCTCAGCGAGGCCTGAGCGCCAGGCCCAGGGCGGGGCGGCAGAGGAGGAGGAGGAGGAGAGAAGGTGGGGCGGCTCAGGGCTCCCCACCCATCCTCAGACCTGCCCGGGCCTGGCCAAACAGGTTGACGGGTGACACAGAGATGAGGTGCACACCCCGGGGAGGGCGGGGCCGCCCCACTGCAGTCTGGGTCCCTCCTTCCTCATTCTGGAGACGGGGTGGACTCCATCCTCCCCGGCCTCTGGCACCGCCCCCTCTCCCCGCCTCCGAGCCGATGACGAGCAGTCATCACAATACCAAAAATGATCTTTTTTCAAAAGGAACAGTGGATTCTGGTGTGGGGGGCACCTGCTGTGTTCAGTGCTACTGTATTGACTCATTTCCTGTGCACGCCGCCCGCCCCGAGTTACCGTTATCATCCCCATGTACAGATGGGTAAACTGAGGTACAGAAACGTGAATCCACTTGCTGGGGGCCGCGTGGCTGGGACGAGACAGGGCTGGGAGTTGTGATCACCTGTGGGGCCCCAGGGTCTAAACGCTGCCCAGGCAGCTGTGGGGAGGGGCCGTGCATTCTTCCTGCATATATTGAGTGCCTACTGTGTACCAGGCATTCTAGACACAGCAGGGAACGATATGACAGAATCCCTGATCTCTCTGCCTAATGTTCTAGCTAGAGACAGATAAGGAAAGATATTTTAAAAAAATATTCGAGCCTGTCGGATGGCGATAACAGTCTCAGCGAAAAATAGAGCAGAGAAGGGGGCAGGTATGTTGGGGGGCTCGGGTTGGGGTTTTAAATAGAGGGTCAGGGAAGGTCACGCTGATAAGATGACCCTGGGGACCAGGAGGAGGAGTCAGATGGCAGCCTTGCCAAGGACGTTCCCAACAAGGCCAAAATACCTCCCTGTCTGGACCCCCATGGTCCTCAGGACCCTAGAAGTCAGATGGGGACGTGGAGGGTGCACACATTGCTGCTTCCTAGACCCTCACAGCCAAAGGAGAGGTTGCAGACGTCTCCAATCCTGCAGATCTTGGCCGTGTTTGGGTGCAGAACCCCGTCTGAGAGGTTCTAGAATGTTCTAGAAAGTTCCAGATCAACCCCCGCCCCACAGAGATACACATGATTTGGGGGGCCTCTGGATCCTTCACAGATAGTTCTAGAGAGGCTCAGAGAGGTTGAGTGATGTGCCTGGGGTCACAGCAGCAACAGCTGCCCTTCCCCCACGCCCCGGCGGGCCCCAACGTGCGGTTTTCTTTGCCGTTGATTCATAACGAAGGGCATATGGGAAGTTCGATAAGGCCCCCGTTGGGTCACTGGGGCAGCAGGCGCTGCCCTGCCCAGACGGCCTCCCGCCCTCCACCGGATGGCCGTGAGGAGGGGTGCTCCCCAGCCCGGGGGCTGGCTGACTTCCCGCTGTGAAGGTGAAGAAAAGCGGAAATAGGTCTGGGCCGGGCAGAGCTGGGAGGGCTGCTGGGCAGCAGAAACAACCAGCTTGGCAAAACTGGGAGGCCAGGCTGAGTCACAGACCCGAGAGCGGATGGACTTTCGAGAGGGGCCCGGGACAGAGGGCCGTCCCCTGGGGGACCTCCCTGCCGTCCGGCTCCAGACAGGACGCAGGGCCCTCTGCATGTCACAACAGCACCCGTGTCAGGCCCTGGTCTGACACCCTCCATGACTCCCACTGACCTCAGAAAAATGACCCGGCTACTCAATCCCCGCTCCTCCGGGCGCCCAGCTTCTGTGACCTCCAGCTTCAAAACAAGCCTCCTTTTCAGTTCCCCAAACGGGCGATCTGCTTCCTTTCCACGCGCCAGGCACAGCTGGGGACATTCGTCATGTATGAGTGCATTCGGGAATACCAAGGTGAGCTAGCGTGCATGCCGAAAAGCACACACAGAAAACGCATAAAACACGAATACATAATACATGTTGTGAAATCAACACCCACGCGATCCCCACCCAGGCCAAGACCCAGCACATCGTCAGCCCCGAGGGCCCCCAGAAGGTCTATTCAATAGGAACCTCCTCCTTCTGGCCGGTGGTCACTACCGCTCTGCCCTCTACAGTGTTTCTGTGTTGGGGAAGAACTCTTTGGTACAAAGATTTACTTCATTTTTCATTTTTTAAATTCACACGGCGTTGTATTCACTTTCTTTGGTGCACGATTCTGTGACTTTTAACAAACGTGTAGGGTCGTGTAATTTACCACTGTACACAGTTGACAGAATATGGTTCCATCGCCTGAAAAAACTCATCGTGGCTACTCCTTGGTGGTCAGACCCTCGACCCACCCCCAGCCCCTGGAAACCACCGATCTGCTCTTTGTTGCTCTGGTTTCCTTCTCTAGGATAAATTCCTACAAGTGGGATGGCGGGGTCATAGGGTAATTGTCTGTTTAACTTTGTAAGAAACCGCACAACGGTTTTCCAAAGTGGTTGTACCATTTCGCGTCCCCGCCAGCAAGGTACTAGACTTCCAGTTGTTCTGCATCCTTGTCAGCACTTGGTATCGTCTGTGTTTTTTATTTTAGCCATTTCAAGACGTGCGCAGGCCGGCCCCGTGGCTTAGCGGTTAGGTGCGCGCGTTCTGCTGCTGGCGGCCCGGGTTCGGGTCCCGGGTGCGCACCGACACACTGCTTCTCTGGCCATGCTGAGGCCGCGTCCCACATACAGCAACTAGAAGGATATACAACTATCTACTGGGGCTTTGGGGGGAAATAAATAAATAAAAATTAAAAAAATAAAATAAATAAATTAAATAAATCAAGACGCACAACGGTATCTCATTATGAATTTAATCTGCGTCTCCCTCATCAATAACGATGTTGAATATCTTTTCACGTGTTTCTGTGCTATCCGTGTATCTGCTTTGATGAAGTGTCTATTGTCAAAAGTGTCAAATGTTTCTTTTACTGGTTGTTTTTTTTTTATTGCACGTGGAGAAGTTTTTATATATTCTGGATACAAGTGCTTTTCCGGGTCAGCGGTTTGCAAATATTTTCCCCCAGTCTGTGGTTTGGCTTTTCGTCTTCTTCGCTGGGTCCTTTGTGGGGCAAAAGTGTTTAATTTCGATGTTCAATATATCAATTTTTTTTTTCCTTTATGGATCATGTTTTGGTGTCATATCTAAGAAATGTTGGCCAAACCCCAGGCCACAAAGATGGTCTCTGATGTTTTCTTCTAGGAGTTCTATTGTTTTACATTTTACGTTTAGATCAATGATCCATTCTGAGTTCATTTTTGTATAGTTCGAGGTTCCTTTTTTTTTGCATATGGATGTCCAGCTCTTCCAGCCCCGTTTGTTGAAAAGGCTGTCCTTCTGCACTGAATGCCCTCGGTACAGTGGCCAAAAATCATTTCACCGTATTTCTGTGAGTCTATTCTGTCGATGGTGTCATTGTGATCTCCTATATTTTGGCTAATATTCCGTCTGCTTACTCTATCGATTACTGAGAGAGGAGTGTTGACGCTTGGAAATATAATCGTGGATTTGTCTATTTCTCTCTCAATTCTATCATATTTGTCTTCGTCCATTTCGTGCACACACATTTAGGATTATTAGGTCCTCTTGGTGAACTGATTCTCTTACGAAATATCCCCTTTTACTTCCTTGTTTTTCGTTATAAATTTACAACGGAATTAAGCAACCCTAAAAATCGGGTTTCACTTTTGCCCTTTCTGAACTTGATGTGAATGGAATCGCCCGAGACAAATTCTGGTTTCTGTCTGTCGCTCAGCATTACGTTTGTGTGATAAATCATATTGGTGTGTGTGGCTGTAATTCATTAATTCTCGTTGCCAAAGGTGAATTTTCCAACATCTATTCATGCTTTCTTTTATTTTTTCTTACCAGTATTTTCTATTTATTTTTTTATTGAGATGTAATTGACATATAGCATTATTCTAGCTTCAGGTGTACAACATAATGATTCGATATTCGTATATATTGCGAAATGATCACTGCCATAAGTCTAGTTAACATCCATCACCCTATATGTTAACAATTTTTTTTCTTGTGATGAGAACTTTTATGATCTTTTCTCTTGGCAACTTTCAAACGTACGACGCAGTATTGTTAACTAGTCACCATGCTGGACTAGTCCTCCACTCCACTGTCGATGGGCATTTGGTTAAATTCCAGTTTGGGGCCGTAGTGAACGGGGTGGCTGTGGGCATCCAGTGCATCCCTTTTGGTGGCTGGACGTATGACTTTCTGAGGATAAATCCCAATTGTGGAACTGCTGGGTTATAAGGTATTTCCCAGATATTAATGATCCTTGGCCAAAGTGCCCACACCAGTCTACACCCAGCAGCTCTGGCGAGTTTTTGTGGAGCTAAATTTATTCCACCCAAAACAGTCTCCTTTATTCAGAAGCCACGCATTCCTTGCTGCCGCTTTGGTATTAAAAACAGCCTTTCTGTCTAATGAGGAATAGGATGTTTATACAGTTTCAAAGTACTTCCCCCTCCCGGGTGGCTGGCAGTATTGGCTGCGGAGGGGACGGCTGTGTCTCTCCCTGGCCGCCGCCCTTGCCACACCCGAGGTCATGCCCCTCCAGTGGCCCAAGGCTGGGACACAAAGGTACACCACCCCACGCCCCCACGGCCAACCCCCCCTTTTATCGACTGAGGAATCATTTATTTGGATAAGACAACAAGTGTCTATCAAGCCACTGCACTTCTGGGTCTATACCCCAAAGAATGGAGGGCAGGGACTCAGGTCCTCGCCAGCCGTGCTCATGGCGGCATTCTTCACAGGAGCCAAAGGAAGGCACCACCCAGGTGTCCACCGCGGGCCAGCAGGGCCACTGCGTGGGCTGGGACCCGGGCTCCGAAGGTTTTCCACGTGGAAATTCTCCTAATTTTGTACCAAGGGTCCTGCGTTTTCATTTTGCACCAGGCCCGCCTGGCTGGACAGGCGCCCGGGAAGGGCTGGCCCAACGTCAGGGCAAAGACTGGCCGCCCCGTGCCTCGTTTTCCCTCTAGAACAGGGATGGTGAGAGGACCTCCCCAGAGGATGCGCCTTCCAGCCAGCAGGTGGGCGGGCGACACCTGCTGGACCCGGGGGGCATGACGACCTCCTGAATCCCACTCCCCTGCTCTGCCCCCACCTGGTCCCCCATCATCGCTCATCTGGACCAGCACAGTCCCCTCTGCCCTGGTCCCCTCCC